GGTCACCGCTGTGGCCCCCTCGTGGGACCGGCCTCAGGTCACCTGAGTCATAAATCATAACAGAACCCCCTCCCCAATTTAATTAAGAACAAAACAAACAAACGAACCATACAACTTTGTCCATTCAGCCCCATCCACAAATGCCACGAATGTTCATTGCAATGAGTCATTGGTTTGGCTCATGGCCTCTGGCATGCCGTCATCACTGGCCACTCACAGAAACTCCTCTCAGATCCAAGGCCTGGGATGTGGGTCTGGTGGAGCTGATCAGTCCGTGGGTCCACCCCATCAGGCCCTCCTAGGCTGGTGCCATCCTGGCCAGCTCTCTCACACTCCTGGGGCCATAGTGAGAGAGGTTTATTCTTCTTTTATGCTATAGGTCCAAGAAAGGTTGGCTGGAGAGCCACTTCTTCCATTCCACGACCCAGGATGACAGGTATCCATGGTTGTCACGAAGGGGCCATCTGGATCTCCCCTGGGCTCTGGTCCTAACTCATTGGCCTGAAATTCTGGCCCATATTCCATCACAAATCCTGTCTGGTGCTTAGCAGGGGAGAGCTGGAAGCATTTGTTCAGTATTTATCCTGACAAGAGTAAATACACGAATTTCTTCAAAGAACTAATTATCATGGAAAAGCAGACTCTCCTGGAAGTGATTTCAGTAAAAGAATTCAGACCCCTCCTCCATCCCCAGCCACTTCCTTTCTTTCAAAAGTCTCTTTCAAGTGGACCATTTCTAGCCGGCTGAGGGCGAATCTCTGCCAAACACTGGCGGGCGCTTTAGCCAGTGAGGCCGCCAGCTGGCCAGCCAGCCAGCTCTTCCTAGAATCTCAACACCTTTTTATTGAGTCAGCTAGTTTTCAGTGAGTCGGGAAGGAGATGTGGGAGCTGTCCTGAGAGAGGGAAAAGCAAAAGTTAGATGGAGGGAGGCTGACCAAACGTTTAAGAAATTAAACGATAAAACGAAACATCTGAATAAACTAAAATTAAACATTCCTTGACTTGATCATTTACAGTAGTTAGAAAGGACTTCATAGCAGAAGTGACATTTAAACTGTCAGATAAAGGTGTCTGTTAGCTGGGGCATCCAAGCAGCTGGCAGGCAGTATGATGCCCAGAAACCACTGGGCTTACATTATCTAAAGGAGCTGGGGTTCTGCGCCCATTCTGAATAGACTGAAATTCCAGCGTAGGACCAAAAATCCTAGTGTAGGACCAAACATTTTCATTCGTTAGGAGACGGGATGAAGAGCCTTATTTGCTATATAAAATGTTTAATTCATCATTGCACTCACTAATAAAGACTGTTGCCGTGTAATTTACTGTAGGAAGTGTAATGGTGTTTGTTTTTATTCTAACTTTTGCTCTCCACAGTGTCGGTTACCCATGGCCAGTGGCGGTCCACAAAGATCAAATAGGTGATTCCAGAAACAAACAGCTCATGCATTTTAAATTGCATGCAGTTCTGAGCATGACGTGATTGGGACGTTTGGTCGTGCTTTCACTATTATGCTATTTTATTATTGATGTTGTTAATCTCTTATTGCGTCTAATTAAACTTTGCCACGTGAATAGGTGTAGCAAGCAAATAGAATATATAGGTTTTGCTGATAGCCAAGTTTTTTGGGTATCTTAAAAAAAATATCCCATGTAGATAAGAGGGGACAATTGTATTATAGTAAATGACTTCTCAGGAAAAGAACGCTTCTGTTTGGGGCAAAATTTGTCAGGTTATAGGTGTTGTAACACACACACACACGTTTCTCTGGGAATGGCAGGCGACCTACTAGGTTAAACCAAACCAAAGCAAACCCAACAGGTTTTTAAAAAACAGTGCAGGGATGCTGGTATAGAAGAACATATTTTAAACAGAATGTCTTTGTCAAGGGGAAGTGACAGGGAGAAGAGAGGCTTTCTCAGAACCAGTTTGAGAGGTAGGGATTATTTTACTAAGTCAAATTAAGGGGTTTCTTGTAACAAAACAAAATTGAGTCTTATTTTCAACCTCTGAGACTGTATTTCTGTGAGAAATAGAAACAGGATGTACATTGCCTCCCTCCCAAGAGCAAGATGATGGAGAGAAATAGTAAATAGAAATTTTGAATAACTCTTGACCTTTAGCATGATATGCTAATAGACATAGTGGACTAGGTTCCTTATATGGATCTAAGTCATGATTATGTACATCAGTTTTCATTTGGTATCTGCAACCACTCTTTGATTTAGGATGGGGTTATACCTCTGTTATAGATGGAGGTTACTAGTATATAATTTGACTTATTATGATATTTGTCCCCTTTTTTTGAAGTGCAAAGTCATTCTCCATATACCAAAGCTCTATAAATTGTCCTCTTTCCTCTAATTGTTCTGTTTTTAATTTCCTAAGAGCCAGAGACTGCATCACCGTACACGGTAGAACTGTGTCTAACCTGGACCAGAGACTGCATCACTGCACAGGGTAGAACTGTGTCTAACCTGGACCAGAGACTGCATCACCGCACACGGTAGAACTGTGTCTAACCTGGACCAGAGACTGCATCACTGCACATGGTAGAACTGTGTCTAACCTGGGAGTTGCAGTCCGTTTCGGAAAATGCACTCTGCAGTGAACAGATTTTGTGACATCTGTGGCAGGCTCTTTATTTTCGTCATGTTGTATGTTCTCATCTGAGGTCTGTATGCTTTACATGGCTAGAGAGATGGCTTCTCGAGGAACGAAGTGCCACACAGCACAAACCCAAGGCGTTTCTACCCTTCTGCTTGCTGCAAAGTATTTTCATCATCACCCCAATTAAAAGGATGGCCTCATTCCTCAGGCTTCCAGGGAGCCATCTGATGCTGGAAGCAAAGAGAGAGGCTACAACCTGTATAAAAATAGCTCTCCAAGGTGGTTGAGTGACAGAGTTACAACTCAGCAGCTTGATAGAGCTGAGCACTCACATTTTGGAGCAGGAGGAGAACCAGAGAAAAGGAGCCAGAGAGACTGGGCTGGAGTCCACTCCCAAATAGAACCGAAGATGCCAGGAGCCATCATTTGACAAGCAGATTAGCTGTTAGGATTTCCTGTTGCTTCATTCCCATCACCGGTCCACCGCTTCGAGTGTGCCTTGCCTCTGCACCTGCAGAAATATCACACACACAGACACACACACACACACACACACACTTTTTAAAGTATTGAATAGACGTGCAAGCCAGAGATTTCAAAGCATTTTGGAAAAACGAGAAGAGAATGAGCTGAGGTGACCATGGGCTCAGGAAGAGCCTTAGCGGGACTCACACCCCGGCTCTTCATCCAGGCTCGGCTTTCAACACCTCTGTGCGACGCTTATGCAGTTAGACCAGCCACATTTCCTCCAGTCTTGTGTTGACTGGATTCCAACTCTCAATGAAACCGTTTGCTTCAAAAACCACAGATTCTTTGCAAACATCACAACCCATTTACAATCTCCAAACAAGTGCTGAAGCTCTGAGGTCGCTTACTGATTTGAAACCTGCATTTCACAAACACAAAACTTATGGATCAAGTATTTATAAAGACAGAATTGTGCAGTTGCCCCCCCCCCCAACTTTTGTTGTGCTCAAATTGCCCCACATTCTGGAGGAAAACCAAAGCCCCTACAATAAACCCACTTTTAAAATTAGTTCAATGTGTAGCCAATAATTCAAGGTAGACTTTTAAAATATGGTAATTCGAAACAGGCTTGCGCTTTTTCCTTGGCAAATGTAATAGATGCTATTGTTTTTGAGCAAGCTTGCTGAGAAACACATCGAGCTCTTTAAGCTCTTTAAAACATTTATTAGCCGAATGCCAAGGAATTGCTGGTCCCTGGCGGCAGCAAGGACTCATTGCACCCCAGCTACTTACTGTTGGAAGAAAGGCTGCCAAACTTAGCTCTATAATAAATCAACTCTTTAAAATGCTTCCATTAACATGGCATGCTACTGATGGAATGAGACAGGGTCTGGCTATACAGTACAGGCTTGCTTGAACTTACAGTCCTCTTGCCTTATCCTCCCAAAGGCTGGGATTGCAGGAGTGGACAATTATATTCTCATGTGAAAGGTTTACTGGTAGAAAAAAAAAAAAAAAGAAAACCAGAATCTTTAGCTGACCCCCCCCCCAACATGACATGATTTTTGCTGGGCAAGTGAGTGATAACATGGAAGACAGGATATTGTATTTTAAGAGGAGATCCCCTCCCATGGACCCGTATGGAGCATAGCCTTTGTGCTATGCACCTTGAAGCGGTCTGTGAGCAGGCAATGACGTCTCAATGCTGCTGAATTGCTCTGTTATAGCACGAAGCCCTCTTGCTATCGAGTTAAGCAACTAACTACAGAGTAGTTGCTACCTAGGAAGGAACAGAGACAACAGCGATCCTATTCTGATGGTTTAGCAGCTGCTTAGACTCCTGTTGCCATGTTAGACCTTGCTGGAGGTCACCAGTTAGACAGGTATAGAAGGCTGACTCTCAGTACACTCTCCTTACCCTTCAGCAGAGAGATTTGAGTGCACTGTTCTAGAAAAGAGATTGGCCTGCTAGGCAACTGTTGCACAATTCAGAGTTCAAGCTGGGCCGTGATTTTCAATGTCTTTATTAGGAAATAGCGAAAGTTGATTACCATTCCATACACGGCTGTACGGAGCTCAAGTGAAATGGTGTGGAGGGTGGCATCTCTATGTGTGCTTGGTCTGTGGTAGCTTGCCCAAAGGGTAACCCAAACTTCCAAAGCCACAATAATGTCTTTTCCTGATTTCAGCTAGGCCACAGCATAATGCCTTGCTACTGGAAAGACGACTAATACATTATAAATGTTTCTTTATAGATTCATCAATTTATTCTGTCATTTTCTTCCTCTGAGGAAGCTGAGGGGTTGACAGGAAGCATGGCATTGGAGTCCCATTCACTGCTGACTGTGTTACATTTTCACAAAGTCTGCTTTGGAGGTTCACAAATACTGCATGCTGCATGTTACAATATACACACATGGGGGACTCGAGCACATTGTTACTTTATTTGACAATGAACACAAAAGGGGGGAATTGGTTGTCTTAGAAATAAAACACCATGGTCCTTCTGTGGAACCTTCATGGATAGGACAAAGGTGCTAGTCCCTTTGAGCTCCAGTCACACCGGCAGGCAGTATGATGGAACTCGGCTGGATGCAAGAACACCAGCATCCAAGAGTGGAAGGAGAACTTTCAGGGATGTGACATCATCGTTTATGTCACCGCTACTGTATCAGAGAGGAATCACACTTTCAAAGTAACTGGGGCTAGGACGTCATTGGGAAACAACCATGGTGTAGTGTGCCTTGGTTAAGGCTTGTGCTGGTTTGTCTAAACGTAGATTTCTGGAGATTGTCTAGCCACATCGTAAGGAGCCGTATTCAGAGGAAGGACTCCTTGTTCACCCACATGAGGCTGCGTGTCTCATTGGGCTTGCATTCATACTCAATGACAGAGAACGGGCTTCCCCACTGGCAGTGGTCTCGCTTGTGGTAGTTGTAGAACTTGACTTGCCACACTGTCTCGAAGGTCCCAATGTCTGTGAACTGAAGGGAGAGAGAAACCCATCAAAATCTCATCTTGTCACAAGCAGTGGATGCCCGCTAGTCAGTGACACACACAGCAGTGGATAGATGCTCGCTAAAGTCAGTGACACACTCAAGCAGTGATGGATGCCCGCTAAAGTCAGTGACACACACAAGTAGTGGATCCCTGCTAAAGTCAGTGACATAGCTCCCAATAATCAGGTCTCGGTAGCCACATCTCTCTTAGTCTGCAAAATTCACACATTTTCTTCTAGGAACTACATTCCTAAGATATTGGAGATCTTTTCCCTAAATCTCCTGGGCATTGGACTATTTCATGAATTTATCTTGTTTTCCAAAAAGCCGACCTTTGACTCTCACAATTTCTGTTCTTTTTTAAAAGTCCCCCTTTTTAACAGAAGGGATCTGGAAAGAGAAGAAAGGGAATAGTGTTGACCAGCCATCTTTTGCACTCTGTTTTGAGACAGTAGTACAAGAAAACATCTATATTATTCATCTAAACATAAGGTATACATAAGTGCTCTTTTATTATTAGTTTCAACTCAGGGAGGATATTTGACTGAAGGTGACAACCACAAATGCTTTGCTTTGAAGTACTGGATTCAAAAAGATTTACTTTAATGGTCAAATATCGAGGGTATATGCCCAGCTCTCAAGTTTAGGTACTGTACCATTCAAACTATGAGTGCCTATTATGTACCATGTACATATGAAAGTTGTATAAGATAGATTATTGCTTTTCTTATGTTACAGCCAGGTATGTTGGTTTACACTGAAATGCAAGCTTATGGAAGGCTAAGAGAAGACTGCCATGAGTTCAAGGCCAGCTCGAACCACTATGAAAATAAAAGTTGTTCTACTAGAAGGTTGGAAGGTAGGCTCAATAAGAAAAAAAAATCCCTGTACAGAATTTTGAGACATTAGGATGAGTGTTTTTTAGCCACAAAGAAGACACAGAATGCTCTAGAGGCCACCAGGCAGATGCTCAAGTGTCCCGGGGTTTGCCTGACGGCTGCCTTCTGCAGCTATTTAGAGGACCTGGCAGTAAACATCATTATGCCTGTAGTTATTTTCTCCGCCGATCCTCTCTTGATGAGAAGGGTCAGGACTGGCTTGGCAGAAATCTTAGACTCTCTTGGAGCCAGGAGACATAGAGAGAAGGGCAGTGAGCAAGGCGAGCTTTTACGCTGTGCAGTTGATACAAGAGGAGGGTGATCAGGTGCTTCTCAGAGAGCTTGCCAAGGTCCTCAGGACTTAGTCCCTGCATCATCGCCTCACCCACTGACTTGGTCCCGCATCAAGATCTGGGCTTTCCTTTGGGAAGTGTGCCTGACGTGAAACACAGGGACGAAACCATTAGAGTCTACACACTTCCTAGGTATGAAGAGGAAGTATCTCTTTTTGGAGAGCCACGGCCTAAAGATTTATGATCTTACAGCAGCTTGTTTATAATAATCCCAGGCTGGAATAAACTCAAAACACCTCACTATTCACCAGATGGGAGTCAAGTTTTGGTATATGTGTAAAGTGACATGTGACTGATTTATCAATAGGACATGTAGCTTAAGGTAAGAACAGGGATGGATCTTAAGACACTGTAAGCAAAAGAATCTAGATTCCAGAGAATATATACCATATGCTTCCAATTACTTTAAAGTTATATGATAAATATAAACTATACTAGTAGAACATATCCGTGGTTATTTAGGGCCTGAGAGGGGGAGATTGCTGAAAATGTATGAGACAGAATTTTTGGAGGACAATGATAAAAGTGTTCTATATCTTGGTTGATGTGGGCCAAACCACACTGAACTCTATACTGGGTAACTTATTATTTGAAAATCATGTCACATAGTTGGTTGCTTTTTAAATCAGTATCCATTTTCAGTAAGCTATAGGAAGGTCGGCTACTGAGTCCTTCACAAAGGAGTCCTTTGACAGTCAGGTTAAAGGTGTGAATAATAGATGTGGATCCAGAAATCATACGTCCTATAAGAATATCGTAAATTTCAGAGCAGTGAAAACTGAGCATGAAAACTCTTACTTATAGAACAGACTATTATAAAGAAATTTAAATGTAAAATATTTTTCTATTATTTTTTATTCCTATATAAATCAAGTACAGTACAATATTGAATGCTTGGTCTTGTGACAGGGATATAGTTCAGTGATGGAGTGCCTGTTTAGAAAATATGAAAAACTCTGGGTCGATGCTCAGTAAAAGATAAAATCTAGGATAGTAATATTCTAATGTCCAATTTAATCCTGCTTACTTAATTCCAACTTAACGTTGGAAACTGATGGATTACATTTATTTTTCTATGTGCTTATTTGTATTTTTAAATTAGAAAATAAAAAACCCAAACCACACTAAGTATTGAAATTTTTGGCCTAAGGGTAATGTAAAATATTTAATAAGGAAATAAAATATTACATGAAATGTATGAGTTACTAAGACTGTTAGGATAAAAGACTGAACCATAGTTCATTAAAAGAAAACTATATGGGCAGGAAAGATGGCTCGGTGGTTAAAGGCACTTGTTGCTCTTGCAGAGGACCTGGGTCCAATTTTCAGCACCCATATGTTGGCTCACATCTGTAAATTCCAGTTCCAGGAGATCGGAGGCCTCTTCTGACCTCTTTGGGCTCCTACATTAAGGCACACACACATACAATTAACATAAAATTAGTAAATATTAAAAAAAAACCAGAAAAACTTCAAACACAGTATTAGCAGTTAAACAAACACAAACTTTTACAGAGATACTGGTTATCTGTTCAATTAGTTTAAATTTCTAAGTCCCAGAAGCACTGTTGTAAACATCTGTTATTAAGAAAATACTGTGGAAATAGAGGGGTATTGGGATGGGGATTTGCAGAGTCATTATGGAGTAATATGATATGAGAACAGGCACGGAACAATCTTAGCCAGAAAGAGATCAGAACAGTTCATACACACGAGCTCAAGTATGTAAAATCTAAAGTGTATAAATGCAGGGTTTTAACTTCTAAGTAATCAAATTTTTCTATTTCTTCATTCAGATTTTTTTCTGTAAAAAAGAGTTATTTTCAAAATGACTTATCCTACCTGTAAAGTTAAGACTGATATGTTATAAATTTTATTAAGAATATGTACATTCTAATGAAAATACCACAGCTTTGTTCAGATAAGACAGTAGTGGGTTTCTGTTATTCATGTTACAGTAGTGGTATGTACAAATTGCAACCTCATTTAATAACTCACTTTGAAAGGTGTAGTTTTCTTAGTTTTAACCAACAGAGGCATTTCCAGTGTTAGGAACAACCGAATTATAAAACTTAACTGGAATTTGAGTTCTAAATTATAATGGCTAACTTATTTTGAGGTAAGGTCTCACTCTGTGACTCTATCTGAAGCTTGCTATGTAAATCCGGCTAGCCTTGAAATCACAAAGATCCTCCTGCCTCTGCCGTCTGAGGTCTGACCTGCATCTCTGGCTAATAAAGGTATTTTATAAAGTACACATTTTAGCAGTAAAACATTTTATTATGAAAACAGTTTTCTTTTTTAAGAAGATTTTATTGTGTATTATGTACACAGTATTCTGCCTGCATATATCCTTGTATGCCAGATCCCACTATAGGTGGTTTTGAGCCACCTTGTTGTTGCTGGGAATTGAACTCAGGACCTCTGGAAGAGCAGTCAATGCTCTTAACCTCTGAGCCATCTCTCCAGCCCCAAAATAGTTTTTCAAATAAAGCTAACCACCCAAGAGAAGCAGCAGCCTGAAGCCACGTGCTTCCCAAATGAGAGAAAACACTGAGAACTTTTTTTTTCAATAAGAAAGAACTGGATAAAAAATAACAAAACAAAAACATTAAAAACGAATAATATAACCACCCATAAGAGGAAACTTCAGCATTATTAACTTACCTGAAAAAATTAAACTAGGAAAGTTATTCTTAAATATTTATTTTTAGTTTGTGTGTCAGGGTGTTTTGCCTGCATGCATGTTTGTGTAACACGTGTGGTCCATGCTCACAGTGGCCAGAAGGCTGCTTTGAATGACCTGGAACTGTAGTTAGAGGTGGTTGTGAACCACCATGTAGCTGTTGGGGCTAGAACCTGGGGTCTTCTGGAGGAACAGTGAGTGTTCTTAACCACTGAGACATCTCTCCGGCCCCTGGAAGTCTTAATCTAAGACTATTCAGTAGTATTCAGTAACACAAGAGACCCAAACAGAAACATGTGGACAGCAATGGTCACAGCAAATACGTTAGATGTTAGTTTCCAGTCCTCATTTGGTTGGGCTTCTCCTGACTCCAGAGTCATGCTGAAGTATATATCTCTGTTAAGTCTGCACAGCTTCTTCTCCCCCAGGCCTTAGATTTTTATACTTCCCACCAGTTTTCTGGAGTTCACTTCCTGGTTCTTTTACTATCTAGTTCAGACATTTTTTTCTCATCTATCTGAGAGCATAAACAACCATACAGGCTTACTCCTCCCTCCTGGCCCATCCCAGCAACCCAGGGATGGCACCACCCACCACTAAATGAGAAAATGCCTTGTATCTGGATCTTATTGAAGCATTTTCTCACCTGAGGCTCTTTCCTCCGATGACTCCAGCTTGTGTCAAGTTGTCACACAAAACCAGCCAGTACATTACTCTAACAACCCAAACTGATAAATAAATTTAAATAAAGGATATTTGTACAGAAAATGTCATGGCCTTATGAGTAAATCTGTGTATTGTTTCTATTTCTTAAAATATTAAAGTCAGAAATATATGAGAAGGATGTTAAGACCAAGAAAGTTTTTTTTTAAAGAAATAGAATAAAGAGTGAAAAGTTTACATAGATGTGTGTTAGATAGTCAGCTTAGGCCATAATGGACCTAACATATATTGCATTGTGATATCACAGTCTTCTCAACAAGTATGAGCACATACTGTCTTAGTTACTTTTCTATGACATACTTCCTTCAACAAGGCCACACCTCCTAATTCTTCCTAAAAATGTTC